GTGCTTGAGAAGTCCAGCTCTTCCTGGCAGAGCATCTGTGTTGATGTTTATATCATTCCCTGCTGTATGGGAAAGGCATGCTTTCTCTTGCTGCTTGGCTAAAAATAGGGTGGAATATAGCATTGTATGAGATATTTTAAGATAGCTAAAACATTTAAGAGGTTAAAGGTTCGACTTTTGGATCAGAAAAGATCAGTGATACAACTTGTGTTGTTCCTTGCAGACTGCATTTTATCTAGGGTTTGTCAGTGATTCGCACTCTTGGTTAGGCAAGTTATTCTAGTTTCATTTGGTGCAGTCTGAAAACCCACTCTGCTGGCTTTTCTGTCAGCTTCCCAGCATGAAGGGCAGGCCTGAAAACAGCCTCTATTTATACCCCCTTGTTCGTATTTGGAAAATCAGTTGTTTCACTGGAGAGGGGGAGAAAGAGAGGAGAGCACAAGCAGTTGTCAGGGAGTGTGCTTTATACGTTATCGTGACTTCAAAATAAAACTGGCACATTTTAGTGTCTAATTATTTTTAGTGAGCTTGGAGGGTTTTAATTAAAATTTAAGAGTGCTCTTCAAGCTCTCCAAGCTCCAATTTTATCCCACTGTATTCTGAAGCACTTATCACTGTGGAAATATGTACAGTAACTGGCTTGTGCATCTCTGTTTCCTAAGGAAAAATGTGGGATGGGATGATCAGCAAGGATATAAATATATATTGTCAGATTACTTGTAAACCAAGGTCAAGGGTACTTTTGACAAGTTATTATTCTTGGATACAGAGAAAAATTATTGCGTTTGAAATGTATAATTCCTATGGTAAAAATAAATGAATTGTTTCAATATTTTCTTAAAAGAGTTAATAAAGCAGTAGGAAATCTGCACAGAGGAGCAGCAGCCATTATTTTTTCTCACTAAAATACTTTAAAGATATTTTCTATATCATGTTTCTAATGACTTAGCATTTGAGGTAAATGGAATAATAAGTGGTTACTCACAGGTCAGTTGTTTTAAAGTACAATGATTTTTTCCATTTTTTTCTATTCCCATGATTTAGTTTTAGTGATGATTTTTTAAAAAATGTACTCTCTTTGACCCACTTGAAATATCTTTATTTTGTGCAGAATAAGTGTTAATACGGCCTCGACTTTGTTTACTAGAAATCATTTTAAATTGTTTTTAAAATACTACACAGATTAGAAAATAAATATCCCACATACTTTCACTTTGAATTTCTCTTGTACTGTAAAATTAATTATTAGCATGAAAAGCACTCTTGACCCATATGGACTGAAACCTAGTTGATTAGGAAGCCGAAACATTGCTTTGCAATCGTTATGCAGGATATTTATGAAAAATTAGTTCTGAATTGCCTTTCCTTGTTCCCTAGGAAAAGTTTCTTTAAAAATTTAAATTTGCAAAGAAAAAGAAAAAAAACAAACAAAAGCTATGCAACTGAAAATTAATTTATAATGTATCAAAACCTTTTACATCTTTGATTTAAATATAAGGGAAATCCCAGGTCCAGCTTTTGATTTTCCATAGTCCTTTTTAAATACTTTATTTACAAAAATGAGATAAATATAATGAAATTCTGTATTTTATTGACTATGTATTGGCTTTGGAGGCTAATTCTTTCAAAGTAAGAGGAATTAAATTTGACATTTTCCACTTTTATACTGAGGTGTGTAGCTTACATTCATTTTTAATATGTACATATTATTGTGACTTTTTTAAATACCATAATGTTACAGTTCTTTATCTCAATTTCCAAAAGGTATATAGCTCCTCTCCTATGTCTTAGCTGAAGACAACTCAGTCAAAACACTGAAATTTGAATAGTCAAAGTTAGATCATGAAATAAGCTGTATATTGTCTTATTGATTTGAGGACTATGGCACCACCATACATTTTTTTAGCTGCTTTCAATTTAATCATGTAAAGCACATTTATCTGAATAAATAATCCAAGAATATCTGGGTGATGTTCAGTACCTTTCTGCCATTTGGAACCCTGACTGACTGGTGAGCTACAGCCACTCTGCATGCTCCTTCCTGCTCTTACACGATGCAAACTGGAGCTCTTTACGTATTTGACCTCTTAGGATTTTGCATCTGTACTTGGGGCAAAGTCTGATCTGACCAATTGCCTCTGTAAAGCTGGTGTCCTATTAATGTAGTGAAGCATGTAGTACAAGGAGATGAATACTTACTTTTAATTTCCACCCTTACCTGGATATTATTTGAGTGGGGAATCTTAAATTTTTAAAATATAAAATATTTAAAAATTAAAATAAGTTTTTATGTATATGTTTATTACACATTTCCTCATTTCAAGTCAGAAACCTCTCGGTGGTGACAGTCCTCTGCTTAGGTAGTATTTGTTAACAACCTGAATTTTTTGGTCCTTTTATCCCTTCCTCTTTGGCTTTCCATTACAGTATGGAGTGAGCTTAGTACTAATTGTGGTAAGCTCTTAGAAGTTTGGCAGTCAGATAATTAGGTGAGAAGCTGGGAGTTTGTCAAGAGATTCTTCAGTGTTTTGAATCTCTCTAGAATCTCTGTGCATTGAGATTAAATGCTGATAAGGTTTTATTTAGTGAGTTGTATGTCTTGTCCTATAGATAAAGGCCATCAGTAGTTGTTATTACATATTTTCATGAACTATAATAGAGATATGCAAAGGCTGCTTTATGTCCCCCCTCAGCTTCTTCTACTGAAACAGGAACTATATGGCTAGATTAATTTATCATTATAGTGAGAATTAATTTTCCAACAGGAATGTGAAATGCTTTGAAGTTATTAACCATTTTATTAATGAGTAGCTTTTATGTAAAGCTGTGTCCACATGGTTTGATTTATGTTGGAAGTGTGTCTTCCTGTTGTCCATATAGTTCTGTTTTTCTCCCATGGAGTTTAAGCATTCTTTTCCTGGAGCTCAGAAAGATTTCAGGTCTATTTATAGAAATGAGAGACATATTTTTATGCTTTACATTTATTGTGTTTCTAATACTAGTTTATGAACTTGCTGTGAGTTTGTGATCATTACTAGAAAATTGGGCTTTTGTCTTTTACGATTACAATATATGCTCTCAACTCAAATTTTAATCAAACAAGGTATGTTTTAGCATTTGTATCAGTGATTAGCAGTTTAGTGTATTGTTATAACATGTATGAAAGGGCAATAAAAAAAAGTAACAGAACTGGGTAGGATAGAAAATTGAACATGTTGTGTTGACTATTCTTATCCATGATCTGATGTTAAATCAATATATCTCAGACATTTAAACCCTATTTGCAAAATGTAATCTCTGATAGGCACGGCTTTGAGGATTGGCTTCATAATTTTCAAGACTCAGTGTTATCTTTTTTATGACTTCAGCAAAAATACAAAATATGTATAGACCAAAGTACACATCTTGTTTCTGAATTTAAAAATAAATGTAGCAAGAAACCATTTTGGAAATTAAATACAGACTGAACATATGGGTATGCATGTAGGCCCTATTGGAAGGTCACTCAGAATCCAGTTTTTAATCACAGCGGTAGGTCACTCGTTGAAGCCTAAGACAATTTTAATGGGAAAGAATGGAAAGGAAGAAGGAGGGAAGTAAAGAAGGGAAGAAGTAAAGGAAGGGGCAGGGAGCTTTCTCTTAATAGAATCAAGCTGGCTTCTATTTAGAAAGAACTTTAGCTTCTGTGATAGCACGCTAGTACTGTTGTTCTTCATCAGGCATTTCAGGATGCACTGATCTGGATTCCATCCATTCCTTGATTGATTGATCATGTCATGGACAAATGTTAATTGTTTTTGCCAATACGTTCTAATTGTGCAGTAGTCTTCTCATCTCTAACCCCGGGCTTTCTGTCTTTTTCTAAAGCTTATCTAGTTTCTAAAACCCTTTAGATCCATCTTGACCTTACTGTCATTCTGAAAAATTCAAGGAGGATTTAGAAGTTGGAAGAAAAAAAAAGAAAGGAAAAAATGCTAAAGAGAAAGGTACTGATAGGGAGAGGAGAAGCATTTGGATACAGAGTAACAATTTAAATATAATTTAAAAAGAAGTTATCAGAATTTGACACTTGGAATGTTAAAGTTTAATGGGAGTATGCTTCACACTAAGGGTTTAGTATTTAAGTCTGCATTCTCTTTTGGAAATATGTCTTATTTGTTAAGATTTGAGGCTCAAAAGATACATGTAAATAGTTGCAAGCAGTAGCGTCAGTTTCAGATCCATCTGAATATAGAGATAAAAGAGCACATTGAGGAAAATGTGCTAATTATTAGAATATTCTGGTTTAAATTTCTGTAACCTTTATGAATCTTTATAGAAACAAGTGTAATCACTCCCTGTAATCTAGTGTGCTACTTAGAAATGCAGCAGGGAAAAATGTTTAAATAAGTATTTTCTTGAAGAGAATATATACTTCTCTTTTTATACAAGAGAACTGTAGTAGCAGTTTTCATTATATGGACTTTATTTTCTTTGCATTTTGCCATAAATGGGTATTTTATGAAAGTTGCTGTATTTTTTTTTTAAGAACACATGGTTACAGGTTGATTGATGTTTTCTCCCTTTAAGAATTGTCATTCTTCTGTGAGTAGCACATGAATTTTGCTTGGAATTAAAACATAATCACCTGGATTAAAAGGAATATTTTCTAAACTTAAACCTGTAGAAAAGGGCCCCTTTTTCTGTCTTATCAGTCTAAGAAATGCTAAATGCTGACTGAATATTGATATAATTATAATTGTAATACCAATACAAGTTTATTGAGCATTATATTCTTAGGAATAGTTTAAATAATATGGTAAAAAATTAGTTGTGTTATTTTATAATACAGTAATATAATTGTTTATATCCTAAGGTTAAAACAACAAAAAATAGCTTTGATCATTTTTAAGTGATAGAGTTTCTTCATAAACTAGCTTTTTGGATTTGTAATATTTTAATACTTATAAAATAAAAAATATATGTAATATCTTGAATCCTTACTTTTTTTATTTTAACAGATTCCTCTTGCATGGAAAAACTACTATCAAAAGATTGGAAGGAAAAAATGGAAAGACTAAATACCAGTGAACTTCTTGGAGAAATTAAAGGTACAATATATAAAATATAAAATAAATCAATGTGGAGATGTTATTTTGTATAACAATACATTTGCTGATCGTTTGTACCCTAACATTAATTTCTTACTTCTAATATTTGTTAATGTATGAGAGGTAAATGTATAGTATGTCCTTGAACTTTTATTCTTTTTAATGTTTACAGAATGAAATTTTTGGCCTCTCTTTTTATTATTCTATAACATATAGATGATAGGATAAATTGTTTTTAATTTACTTAACTAAAAAGTATTAAAATAAAAAATGTCATATCAAAGATGATGAACAAATTAAATTAAATATAATTTTAGTCTTTCCTCTTAAGTCATAATGTAATAGCTTTATTTATGAATCTAAGTCAATACTTTGAAAGGGTCAACTGTAGCACCTATAAAAAAAAGAGTTTATAGAATTTGCTGTACATAATGGTTTATGGGTGGGTTCTGAGGCCTGTGTACTGGTTCAAATCCTGGCCCTGCCATTTACTAGATAATTGACTTTGGGCAAGTCACTGTCTTCTTTATGTTTTGAATTCCTAGGATCTAAAATGGGGATAATAATAGTATCTACCTCATAGGCTCCTTAAGAGAATTAATACATGTAAACTTTTAGCATTTTACCTGGCACTTAAGAAAGGACTCATGAGAGTAAGTTTTAGTCATTGTTATTATTAACATGCCCATATGTTGATAGGTTGATTAATCTTAAACAGATTTCACAGGATTTAAAATTTCATAACCTTTTACCCTGATGATGATGGATATCTTAATTTTTGAAGTTATGTGATTGATGTTGTTACATGTTAAGAAGTGGACAATCCCAATCAATACATTACAGAACTAACCTAACTCTCTTGTTGATTTCTTTAAGGAAATGAAGTACTGTATTATTAATTTTTGCTATCATGAATAGAATCCTAAGTCATTAATTAATTCTATAAGTTGTTCCCTACAGAAAGTCATTACTGTCACTTGCACTAACAATTTGGGCAGTTTATTAGATTATGTTTCTGAATTTCCAAACAGCTTCAGGTTAATCTTCCTATTGGTCATGGATAATAAATATCTCATTTAAGGTGAATATTTGGCAATAGTTATCTGATTGAAATTTTATTTTGAATTTAGTATAGAAAATTGCCTAGGGTTCAGACATCTTATGTTCTTCTCAAATGAAGAGAAAAGGAAGTCATCTCCCAATGAATAATTAATAACTCATTCCATTATCTAATGCAGTATCAAAATCAAGTAGAAATTTAATAGTATTTTGAATTTCACTGCTTCTGCTTTTTACTTATGAAGGCCACTTGCTTGCCATTTTGGAAACAAACCCTCAACGTTTAACTGAGGGGTAGAAAGAAAGTCATTAGTGACATATTCTTTTTTTTTTTTGTACTTTGATTTTTTATATTTTTATTTTTTAAATTTCATATAACTTTATTTTAACTTTATTGTTGAAAGTATTACATATGTCCCCCTTTTTCCCCATTAACCCCCTCCAGCTCGCTCCCTCCCTTGCCCCAGGCTTTTACCACCTAATAGTCCCTGAGTGACATATTCTTTATCCAGCTGCTATAACATGGTGTGTGCTACTTTGCACGTCATTCTGTGTTTTCTTCCCTTCCCAAAGTCATTGGTTTTATAACAGTGAGAACGGAAATGGTTTATGCAAAGTCAAGCTTTTGCCAGCATGAGTGATGAGGGTCTTGCTTTCTCTCAGTAATGTGGAAGCTAACATTTTATTATGTTACTAGAGGCCTGATGCACGAAATTCGTGCACAGGTGTGTGTGTGTGTGTGTGTGTGTGTGTGTGTGTGTGTGTCCCTCAGCCC